TATGTTATAAGTCCTCCTTACCAAGTTAGTCACCATAAATACAGGTTAGCAGCCAGGCTAATAAGCCAAAAAGCATAGAAACACTAATACAACATACCAAATTAAGGTATACTTTTAGATACATTGTCCAGGCTTGATTATTTCTCTTTTTTTCCCTTATTGTCTTTTATTGTGAAATCTATCTATCTATCTATCTATCTATCTATCTATCTATCTATCTATCTATCTATCTATCTACCTACCTATCTATCTATCTATCTATCTATCTATCTATCTATCTATCTATCTATCTTGTATAAGAGATTATTTTTTGGGGGGGCACACCAGGAATTGAACTCAGAGCCTCACAGTTGAAGTCAGACACTCTGCCACAGAGCTAAGTATCTGACCCCCTCTTAGATAGGACAAACCATGACATACTGCTGCTGTGTCTCTGGCTTACTTCTGGCTTCAAGGTGCATCATTTTCTTACAAATGACTCAAGTTTATCCTTCATGGCAGAGTGGTACTCTATTATGTATAAATACCACTTTCTCTTTATGAATTTATCTGCTGATGGACATATAGGTTGCTTTCTAAATTCTGCTATTGAAAATTGTGCTGCTTGAACATGGGTATACATGTAACTTAATTAAAGCTAAGAAGTGGGACAAAAAATTTGAGCTGAATATCTTTCCATGACTACATCTCTACAAATGAAGGAAACCAACAGTGGTTTGCATGCAATGTTAGTTATTCTAAATGTAAATAAAATATTCATGCAGATAAGGCATGGACTTTTCTTTCCATTTGGCATTTTTCTGGTCCCATTTAAGAATGGGAGATAAATGTATTAAAGAAAAAATCTTATAGCAAGGTAACCTAGAACTATCATATCTGGATTTAAAAGTACTATGCAGTTTGACGTAAGTTGTACAAGTTTAAAATCTTTGGGAGAATAGTAAATTGCCTTAAGCTTTAACATTTTTTTCTACAACAAAAAATAATATATTTCACCTCTTGGAAGAATTAATTAATACAATTTTAGTTATCTGGAAATAATTTTTCTGTTGAAATATCTTTTTTTTGCGGGGGGAGTGGCTCAGCCTGCCTTAAGGGCAGGTCTGGTAAGGCAGATGGAGGTGGGGTTCGAATGGTGGTATGCTGCCTCTGACTACATTTGCATGAGCAGGCACTAAACAATTGAGCTAACAGGCAGGCTCCCTCAAATATCTTGCTTAGAATCAAATCAGAATCATATTATCACAGCATTGCTGGTTTTAATTATTATTATTCTTTTCTTTTCTTTCTCTTTCTTTCCTTTTTTTTTTTTTTTTTTTTTGCGGAACTGGGGATTGAACTCAGGCCCTTGTGCTTGCCAGGAAAGCACTTTTTCCACTGAGCCATCTCCCCAGCCCTCTTTTTCTTTTTTTTGAGACAGTGTCTCACTATGTAGTTTGGGCTAGCCTTGTGTTCATGCTTGTAGCCCCCAGGCTGATCTCAAACTTGCAAAGATCCTCCTATCTCAAACTTTCAAGTGCTGGGATTACAGGTGTGTGCCACCATACCTGGTTCCAGGGCTGTACGGTGGGCACCTGGGGATCTTTGGGCCAAGAACACATGGCATGCGGGGCCAGGGATTGAACTAGGGTCCTTCTGCCTGTCAGGTAGGTGCTTATGCCTCTGAGCTATCTCCCTGACCCTAGATAGTTTTAATTATTAATTTAATAATTTAGACAACGAAATCATCTCTTCTTTGTATAATCTACCATTAGATTATAAGAAACAAATGATCCTAAATTGAAAAAATTATAGTCTTAGCTGTCTATAGTCAACAAATGCTTCCTGAATGCTTAGGATGTCTAAGATGCTGTCAGTAGTGATAGGACATTAAAAAAAATCAAAATCGGAAAAATACAGACATGTAGCATTTTGTAAAAAAAGTATTTTAGGAATGTAATATTCTTAAAGCAATCACCTATTATTTCTCTGCCATAGTTCACTAGAAACTTATTGCCAAAATTCTTACAAATTCCAAAAACTATATAACTAATCTGGAAATTAAAAACTATGGAACAGTAAAGCAAAATTCTCTATGCATCCTTTCTTACCTCATGCCCTATGTATGTACTTACATAAATGGCAAGACAAAGAAAATCAGTAACTTTTACTTCTGCAATTATCCTACTAACTAAAGTAACAGTTGATATAATTTATATGTAAAATAATTTTGCTAACTTAATAATTAGCGCATTAATTTAATGTGTCATATTGTTTTAAATTACAAAGATTAGTAAAAAGAGAACAAACCTATGCTCTGAGGGGAAAATACCCAACAAGTTACTAATAATAATAATCATAAAAATGATAAAGCTACAATATGGGCAGCTTCTGTGTATCTCTGTACCATTTTTCTAGCTACTGGAAACTTGAGTTATAACATTTAACAAATTTTGTTTTCATTCAAACTACTGCAACGCTTAAAAATTAAGCAGAGGAAAAGTAAAAATAAACAGAGGAAAAGTAATTTGAACAAAGCCAGTACTTTAGATGTTAGAATTATAATGAAAATTTAAAATATGTACTAAAGAACAGACTTGACATTAATTATCCAGCCAAAGCTGAATATGAAAACTTGAACCTTGTAGTCAGCAGTGTTTAAATGTACATGTTCGGTACATAGCAGTGATTATTATTATAAACAAAACTTTGTCAATATGGCCATCCACACACAACTGGGTTTTAGTTTCACATAAGTATCTTCATTTTATTATTAGTACCAGAAAGTTCAGTACACATAAGCCAGCCTCTATCGTAAGGTGAAATGCTGGAGGGATGAATGGCAATGAAGTTCTGCAGGGAATATCGTATCCAAGGTATCTGAACAATGGCCATTCTGCCATACCGACCCTTCCAAATATGATGTATTTCCAAACATTAAAGCTATTGCTGAACTAAACAGATTATGACTTAGGTTTCCTGAAATGTGTGAGCCAAATTTCAGTGACATTCTGCTGGAGCATAGAAAAGTAAGGACTCAGAAAACTGGTCACTGAGCTCTATCTAGGCTATGAGTATAAACTTGCTCCAGATGGGGAAAAAAGCAAGCAGTGGTAGTACTAGTATCATTCATATACAATAAATGTAAAATTATACTGATACAATGTCATTTAGAAATCTATTGTCAATAGCCTAATTTTATTTTCTTCATCGTTTGTTTTGAATTATTTTATTAATTAAATGTACTAAAATAACAATAGTAATTATACTTGTTTTTGTGAATAATTGCAATGACTTTTTTTTTTGCAATGACCTTTTAAGTGGAACAAAAATTTTTTTACACCATATCTCTTGGCAAGTGATGCTACAACATCATTAAAGAACATTTTCTCTTTAAAAATAGAATCTGAAATAATTTGTACTTTCTAATAGGAATTTTCAGCCTATGTTTTTCCCTGTTCTTAATTTTAAAACTTTCTACAACTGTGGTACACTGGAATGTAAAAAGTCTATTGCTCCACAAAACTAATAAATTGAGCCCTTATTTTTCTTTGATCTAAAATAATGCTTACCATGTATTAATTATTGAAACTGTCCAACTAATCATTTTTGAAACTGTCCGTTGCTATTTTTCAATACAATTATTAAAATAAATTTATAATATACTTTAAAAAATAAAAAATAAAATAATGCTTACAATGGAAGGGAAAAAAATCTTTCACTGAATGTTGGTCAGTCAGTTTCCTTGAAATTCCTCTTTTGAGAGGCATTCAAGTTAATATAGAAGAATAGACATAAAGTGGGGCCAGTGAGATAGCTCAGTGGTCTAAAGCTCCTGCTTAGGCAACTTAGCCAAGTGGCAGGGACCGTGGTTCAATCACTGGCACCACATGGGCAGGCCACCAGGGTGGGCTGAGCCAGTCACAAAAAAAAAAAAAAAAAAAAAAAAAAAAAAAAAAAAAAAAAAAAAAAGAAAGAAAAATTGGACATAATGATAAGCTAGAAATTGATAGTACGTATATGTCCAAACTGATTACATCAATTCGATATGTCTATCGGACAGTGTAAATCTAGAAAACCTTATACTTTTGTATGTTCTTTTCCTCAGGAAGATATTAATGTAACATCAGTTGCTAACTACGTATTACCCTGATTACAAACAAAACTACTCAATGTTTTCTAAAGTAACCCTAGTGAAAGTTATCACAGCCTTTAGGAGAAAAATGACTTAGAGATAAGTGTGACTATACTTTATCAAAACAAAGATATTGTGCATTTGCATTTAAACAATGAGTGTACAGTCTGAGGCTTTTATCAACTGTCTCTAAATGTGTTTATATAGCAGTTAACATAAAAACTGAAGGTCAGGAGCACTGCTGTCTTACAGTTCTGAGATGCTGAAGTGGAAGACTTTAAGAGGCTATTACAAGAAAAAAGATACTCATTTCAATGGAGCTTGTTTGGATCTACTTCCCAAACCACTGTGAGTTACTAACATGGATAAAGGGCTAGTACAATGCCAGAAGATAGAACTAGAACCAAATCATCAGTGTAAAGTGTTAGAAAATAACAATAATAATAACAATAAACAGAAAGGAAGAAAGGAAATAACAGGAGAAAATTTGGAAACCTAGATTTGACAGCTATCAAAGTAACAAAAATTCAATGTAAAGCAATGAAAGTTATTCCTATAAATGATGTTTACCATAATTATCCATAAAGAACTTGAAATAAAAAACTATTTCCTCACTTTTGTATGTATTTATTTATAGTGGAATTAGAATAGAAAGCATAAAAATCACTTTACTAACCATAATTTTTAACCTTAATTTAAAAATGTGTGATTAAAAACAAAAGTTTTAGCTGCAGAATAACTTAACTCAGACAGCTTCAGTATTTCAAAAATAAGGGAGGATAACATCCTGTTAAATTAAACCAGTCAGGTGAGCCAAAACTAGACTGATAACTCCGAACAAAGCTTCAGATATGCTTGATGAGGCAAGTAAGGCTGACAGACTTACTCTGAAGCTGAGGCTGCTGGAAGGAAAGGGGCTGTCCGAACACAAATGGACTGTGGACTAGGGAAGAGGGAGGTTTTGCAGCTTGATCAAAGATGGAAGGAGCTGGGAGATTGGGCCGAGACTGAATGGAATTCAATATGGCACTCAGTTGGTCACCTGCAGTGGGTAAAACAGTCAAAACTACAACTTGTTACTCATTGACATCCAAAATGGCAAAGTAAATGGTGCTTTATGACATTCAGATAAATTACACACTAAATACAACTATGCCAATTCAGATATACAAGGAAGTTAGTGATCACTATTCTCAAATTTGGGATCAAATTTTGCATTTTGAATGCTGTTTTTTTTCATGGAAGCACTTCATCAAATTTTACATTGAAATCCACCTACAAAAACAATGCACATAAATCTACATACAGTTCCCATTTTGTGGGAAAAAATCTATAAACAATCTATGATTTTTAAAAATATTTTACATACATAAATGAAGATCTAACTACTGTACATGATGTCCTCTTCATGGTGCTCAACATGACTAATACACCTTGCCTCATCTGAGTATATTTCATAAAGGAAATAAGCATAGTATAGGTAGCTTTTACTTATAAAATTGCAAAGGACAACGAATATGTTATTAGCTCAGCAATATTTATGCTACAGTTTTTAATCAATGATTTCTTTTTTGAAGTTATTACTGCCAAAGAAACACTACTTTTTTTTAAAAGGATGAACTCTTTTGCTTGGATAGTGAATGTAAAGCTCTGTAAGTTTTATAAAAAAATGAGTATGTGCTACCTAACTTGAATAGTGCCTCAAATTTTAATTATGGCATTTTCCTATTATTTCCATAGAAAGATGTTAAAATATTTTTAATGATATGAATTACTATAATTAAAAAACTCCTTATTTGTGAGAACATATGCATTGAATAGTTTCAATGATGGAGGAGGATGAAAATCTACATGTTCAAACTAGATGATACAAACACTGGAAAATAGTATTTTTTTCAGCCAAGTTTCCTAAATAAAATAAGGTTTCATAAATAAGTTTTCAACTGAAACACCAAGAGATATGGAAAGGTTATCATTCCAGAAATGTTTCCTAAATATAATAGGGTTTTATAAATAAAATTATCAAGTGAAACACCAAGAAGAGATATATTTATATGGAAAGAACTGTGTGTATAAGCTACACATTTTTAACAAATCAGTGGTAAAGATTACAGAAGGAATTTTATAGGTCATCAAATATTTTGTTAAGTATTATTTTAAGGCAAGACATTTTTACAAGACAATTCCTGATGTAAACGTTATAAAGAGTTAATGAAATTGAAAATGCTTGTTAAATAAAGGTTAGCTATTTCATCAAATTTCATATTTATTAGTCCATTTAAATATTTTAAAAACCTATTAACCAGTGGATACTATTTTTGAAGTACCAAAATCACATCCTAAAAACCAATGCTTTTTATTTCTACTTAATACTCTCAGTAAAGTTTATATCTTTTAAAACTGACTTTATTTATTTATTTAATATATTTATTGAGGGAAAGAAAGCTCCTGTCTGAGAGAGTGATACGAGAGGGGCCCCTGGGGGTTGTCCCCTGATTTTATTTTATGATTTTTTTTTTTCTCTGTATTTTAGGGAAGGGTCCATAGGATGTTCAGGGTCTCACTACTAGATTGGACTTGTAGTGATCCTCCTGTTTATAGCTTCCCAAGAGCTGAGATTACAGGTGCGTGCCACCATACCCAGTCTCAATTGCCTTCTCAGCACACCCCTGGGACAGGGCCGACTTGGCAGGTGGGGGTGGGGGTGGCGGATGGGAGGTGGGGGATTTGGCTGGCCTTATTTTTTGATATTTTAGTAAATTATTTTTTAAAGACTGACTTAATGTGACAGTCATCTTTATGATGACTGAGAAACATTTCAAGTTTCAAACTATACCATTTGCACCAAATATGGCTTTTAAAACAGATCATTACAGAAATATAGCAGCAGCAAGTAAATACCGAGATTTGAGTGTAAGAGTTGACACTAATAGAAAGGAACAGGAAGCAAACACCACGCATTGACCTCATGTAGGAAAAGTCTAGTTAAAGTTAATGGAAATCAGAGCCATCAGAAGCAAGCGGACAGGTGATTCCCAATCCTACAGGGCAGACTACATCAAGAGAGGCCAAAGGAAATCTTGTGGCCAAGATTCCTTTGTAAAAATAGTTCGTGAAACAATGAAAATACCCAATAGAAGTTCTATGTTATGATGAATATTTCTTATAGTTATGTAGCTTTGTAATTTCTTCACTATTTCATAATTTCAATTTCTCTGTAAGTCAGGCATGATCGCATTTTGTTTGTTACTTGAAAACAAGTCCTGTGAATTAGTTTAAATAAAATTTTAAGTTAAATTTATTTCATTATGGACCACTTTTTCTCTCTCCTAACCCTGATTCAACCATATGTGTGACCTGTGGCAGCATGGCAGATTTTAAAGGAGTAAGGATCACAGTCATAGAAAAAAATAAGCATATGTCTTGAGTTTGCCCATAAATATAATTTTAGATAAATTTCAGTAATAAAGAATTCCCAAATAATTGTTCAAACTGTTTATGATGCTGTTCTTTTCAATTAATGCATCCAAAAAAGCTGTATATATTTTATATTCAAATAGCTTAGGGTTTTTCTTTTTCCAACTTTCTGTTTTCATTATACATATCGTTAATATAACATTTCTATAATTCAAAATTAACTGTTAACCAGATCAAATATTCTAAATCACAAATATTTAACAAAGCTTAAATGTAAAATTACTTTCGAATGTTACTAAAAAGTAGTATTTTGCATTTAAGAGGATCATTTAAGAACGTTCTTTGTTGCTCATTAGTATGATTCTCCTAAAAACAGATACATGATAAAGAGTAGATGTGATAACAGAAATTTTAGGACATAAGCTCAAAATGAACACCCTGAAAATAGAAAATGAAAAAAGAACTCCCATAAAGTAAATCTAAGTTGTAAAAACAATATTGTAAAAAGGCACACATGTAAACATTTGAGTATTAGTTTCCTAATATCAAATTTTAATTTAATAAAGATTTGTGGGCAACTAAGAAAAGGTAAAAATAACAAAACATACTCAAGTTAGATAAGTAAAGCACTTATTTTCAAATACTTACCTTTATTATTTCCAAGTCCATAATCAAATCCCTGGGCACTGCAACTTGCCCCTTTATTAAAAGCTTGCACTGAGAAAGGGCTTGGAGGAGGAGTTTGAGAATTTTGATCCAGAAGAACTTGTTCTACAATACAAGTCACAGCTATAAGGTTAGTTTCTTATGTGCTGTTACCTATGTATACAACAAAGAGAAAACTAAACAAGATTTCCTAATTGTTATATTTAGAAGGAATCTCACATGAAGATTTGACAAATCTGAATCCCAATCAGGTCAGCTTAATGCTGGCAAAGCGTATATAAACCTTGCTTTCATTTAAACACATGGTGAAATTCAGAAATAGTATACATGCTCTTAAGGAGTCAATTTGCTTTCTAATAGTAGGATATATCATTGAATGTATAAGGATACTTGTGGATAGCTGAGTCTTAAACAATATATACAAAGACATTTCCAAAACAAAACTGAGTATCTTACAAAATAAAAATGAAAGTGATTTTTGTATATCTTCAAAATGTGTACGTATCCATTATTGATTAAATTATAAATGTGAAAATTATAGAAAATTTAACTTCTAACTTATTTTTATTACATAAATATACTTTTCTTAAAGGATGATAAACCAGGTCACTTAATTGGTCTATTAACATATACTAAAGTCAATAAATGTTCAGAATTAAAAAAAAAATGGTGTTTTGTGCAGTTTACCGATGGCCAATGTAGCCTATAAAATAGGTCAGTTAATCCCCTAAGAATAATCAAATGGCTCTAACTTTCTGTCTAACATAATACTAAAAACACTAACACAATTAAATAGTCATATTTATGCCAGGTAAGAAAAGGGCATGATAAACTCTGTCACATAAAAAGCAGTAAAACAAAATAGATTTATTGCATTAACATAACATAAATATTTATAATTTAAAAGAGTTTCTTTAAACAGAAAATACAGCTAGAAGAATTGGTAAATGTTTTCTTTCTACCATAGCAGTGGTTCTGTGTAGTCTACTCTTTACTAGCCTTTTTAGACTTCTATAAATGACCAATCCTAGCATTTCCCTTAGGCAATATTCTTCAGTGTGAGGTATTTCTGCAGTGGAACATTTCTTCTAAAAAACAGCCAGGAGCTGTGCTCTCAGTGGAAACGACAGTTTTGCTCTGACCCTTTAGATTCAGAATGGTCTAGTTGCCACAGTGAAGTCCATTTTTATCATTACAAAAATTTGGCCCACTTTATCTACTGACATGAAAAGTCATTTAAGAATTTTCAGCAAGAGGAAGGCTACTCTCAGTACTTTATATAAATTAGCATAATACCAAATCCTCTTATTTATATAAGAAACACTTATTTAAAAAACAAAAAAAAAATAAGAAAGATATTGTAAAACACATTTATGAAAAATAAGAAACACATACCTAAACCAGGAAGCAGACTATTTATATATCACATCAACTACTCTTAGTGATTTTATGGTGCTAAATCATACCACTTTTTTCTAGCACCTCAGGTTTTATTTTAAAATGTTAAGACATTATGACCAAATTTGTGTTTTTATCTAGACATATATCAAAATAGTAAGAATGAAAGCATTCCAGAGGAAACTTAAAATTTGAAGTTCCTATTAAGAGTTCAATGTACGCCTCACAAGAAACTATTTTAAGAATCACTTTATCTTACAAGAATCTTTCACCTTCCACTACTTTTGTGAGAACAAAATTACCTACATTAAACTTGTTCCTTAGTATAGAACACATTTTACATTTTAACAATACCTAAGTTTAGCCTCTGGTAATTTTATGAAATTTTGTCACTTACTCTTCACATTAAATTTTTATTTATTTATTTATTTATTTATTTTTTGGTATCAGGATCTTGCACTTGCTAGGCAGGCGCTTATGCTGCTGAGCTATCTCCCCAGCCACATCAAACTCATAAAATGGCATGACTAGGTATTTTCATTTATATACAAATATATAAAAAGATAATTTTTAAAATTCATGAGTTTGTAAATATAGTAATATACAGTAAGTAAACAGTAAATGAGAACATTTTGTTAATGCTTCATTTATATAAAACAGAGGCATTTTCTTTTTCTAAATGTAAAGGCTAGTACTATTTCATCATATCAATGTACAACTATATCATCATAAAAATATTTGGTAAAAAATGAGATGATGAATTACATTTTCAGTGTATGTTAAATGTATACCATAGTGTAATAAGTATATTATTTAAAATATAAAAGATTATTTCAGCTAAAGTCTTGTATCTGCCATATAACCAGCTGTACAATTATAAGAAAGTTATTTTAAAGCCAGGAGCTTACTTTCCCTGCATATAAATGGAAGATTATATTCTCTACACAAAACCTTGCTAGATAGAAAAAAAGGGAGTTAATATAAGTTCTGTCATTCATAAAAAAGTTTGAATACATTTATATTTACCATCAAATTACCTCAGATAAAATGGTAAAATTTATTAACTTTAGATTAATAATGTTTTCTTATTTATCTGATTTAATCCTATAAATAAGAGATTTGGTTAAAAAAGAAAACCGCAAAAACTATACTTTCTTTATTTCCACGATCTGTCTGAAACCATATTTTTTAGGAAGAGGAAGATACAGATCTCTCTGTTTAGCCCTGGCTGGCCTGGAACTCCTAGCATTCCTGCTTCAGCCTGCCAAGTACAAGGACTACAGATGTGCGCCTCTAGCCCTGGCTGAAATCATATTATTTTTACAATTCAACTTGTATATTTATAAAATTTTGTAAGCAACTAGTTAGTGTCAAACTTTAGAAAAACTATGAATACAAAGATAAAAACTGTGCCTGTCCTCAGGAGACTCACAAACTGGTTATAGAGTAATAAAAATTAACTTCAATATAAAACAATTAGTTTTAGTCTAGTGCTAAATATAGTTCCTTAGGAACACAGTGGGAATTCTTACACTGGCACTGGGATCCAAGTTTCACAGACGTGATGACAAAGTTTTTGTCTTTGAAAAAATACATTTTACCACTAGGAGAATAAAGAGAGAGGGACAAAAATAAAATTGTACTAAGTCAGATCAATGCTGAAAAAATTAAAGTGAAAACAGTCAAAATAGAAATACCACAAAGATACTATGCATTTATTTAATGCCCTGCTCCTGAGACAAAATTCAATTAAATGATGTTGTCTCGGAGAAATATTGCAATTGGTGATTTGAAAACTGAAATTCAATTTGTGGTAGAAATGGTCACACTCAGTTGTAGACTTGTACAGAAAAATGAGGCATAGACATTCATGTCAAAGAAATAAAAAGCATGTTTTCATAAAGATAGAGTCCTGTTTCCAATTTTGTTTTAACTTTAGTTTTTCATAGGCATTCATCTAGTATATTATTTTACAAAATAATTTTGATAGATGCAAGATTTTTAAACTTTTATATTTACTTTTAAATAAATATATTTACTTAAAAAAATAAACACATAAACCATCCCTAATGCAAAAGTAACAGAACAATCATGAAATTCATGTTTTTCAAAGATTAATCAAAAGAAATCACAAATTTAAGCCAACTTGCCATCTTCATGCCGGAGGTACTGGTTTCCGCCTCTGTCTCTAGCTAAGGACCATGCCTCTCCTTCATCACTCTCACAGAATTCTACCATGCTGTTCTTATCCAGTTGCACCCATGTACCTTCAGAATTGGTTACCTGGTACATAACAAAAAGCATGATTGATTGGCTTGATTCTTTCAGGACACTCAGCCTGAAAACCAGTAAAAAGCGCTAAGTGTCTCTGATTAGTATAATCATTCCAATATTTTTCTACTATTTAGTAGAGAGATTAGTTTCTGAAATTAAGACCACAGACTGAGGTAAAACAGAAATCAATAAGGCTCATTTAAACTTTTGGTTAAAATAGTATTTTTTCTTTTTTTTTAAGGTAAGACTTTGTTACCCAAAACTCATGGCTCATTTTTTTCTTTTTTCCCTTTACGATGTCCTAACACAGCACACTTGGCATTATTTACGTTGACAGTACCTATAGTTCATCTTCAACATAACCCTGACATTGAGAAATAGCATGACACACTACATCTTCAAGCTTATCAGCTGAGGCAAATGCCACTGTGGCCTAAAGAATAATTTTATTTGCTCAGGACTTCAGTGAGGATTGTGAATGAGAACAACGAAATGACACCTTTTGGATACAAGAACATCTCAAACCAATTCACACAAAACATTTTTTGTGTTGATAATGTGTAACAGTACAGTACATTTGTAATAGTAAAAACATACATGGAAATACCACACATTTATATATACAATACAAATAATTTGTTAATATAAATATTGCTTTCATAATATAATTATGAAAATAAAAGTATTAGAAGAGAAGCACAGAAAAATTATGTTAGTATTTCCGATACAAGTAAAGATCAAGAACATTAGCATTTAAAAACCTGCATGGAAATGGCAACCTTTGGAAGGAAGAGAGATACTTGGATTATATTATGTTAAAAACTAGTATCTTAGAAGTCATGAAGCTACAAGAATCCATACCTCTCCTACTGCTTTGACTTTGTTTCCCAGAACTAACATTCCAATTGGGATACCTCTAAGGTTAGGACAGCTTCTGATGTTGTGACCTGAAGGTCCCGTCTTCACTACCTTGTACATGCCTGGCCCTCCTCGGAAGAATGGCATATCTTGTTCTTGCATTGTTGCTTCCTGTGTGCAGCAATTTATGTCTTTGAAAAAGTCATCAGTACTAGTTTTAGGTTCCTGAAAATTTGAATAGGGAAAAAATAAACAAAATACAAACTATTATCACTTGAAAAATCCTATCAATAGCTTTCGTAGCAAGTCTATAATAAAGACAGACAGTTAAAAGAGTACAATTAGTCAATACCACTGTGAAATAATCTTTCAGTTTTTCAACAATGAATGATACAAAATAAGTCTGAAGAGGTAAAAATATAGTAGAATAGGAATGAAATCTCTGGACTTTTACCCAACGCAATCTGGGAAATACAGTATTACAGTCCTTGACTTCCTTTTTTGTCTTTGTGTAATATTTAAGAGAAGAATAAAAGTAATTTACTGTATGAACCACAATTGAATAGGTCTAAGCTATTATTACATTATTGTAATTTAGTATTCACAAAATATTTAAATATTAATTTCTTTACCCTTTAAAATTATTATAAATAGAAAAATGGATAAGGACCAATCAAATAGCTCAGAGGGTTAAAGCACCTGAAAGCAGGTGCAGGGGACAAGGGTTCGATCCCCAGGCCTGCCACGCCAGCCCCACCCCCCAGGGCACGCTGAGACAGTAATTGAGACTGGGCACGGTGGCGCGTACCTATAATTCCAGCTTTTGGGAGGCTGTAAATAGGTGGATCACTACAAGTTCGATCTAGTAGTGAGACCCTGAACACCCTGCAGATCCTTCCCCTGCCCCCCCAAAAAGGATATAAAGACTCTGGAGACTTGTCTACAAGCAGAGATAAAAATGATTAAAAATACACACAAAATAAAAATTTTTACAAGATTTTAACAACCCACAATTTAAAATATACTGACGGAAATGTGTTTTTATATTTTCTAGGCCACATAAAGTGATATGCTAATACTATGGTAAATAGAGAAAGCATAGTTTTGTAGAGGAGAGTTCAGCATCAAAAATATTTTTAAGTAAGTAAAATTCAACTGAATTTATATTATTGAAAAGAATCACTTCTAAAATTGAAGAACTTGCTTTACATTTTCTGTTGAATCTGAATGTTGTGATGAACTGTTTCCTTATAAAAAAATTTAACTATGACATACTTAATTTTTCCCTACTAAATGTAAATTAATGTTAAACACTGTTCTTTCACTGTATCTTTAAACAAATTTGAAACTGCAGTTTTCAATGCAGCAATAAGGACTCTGAGAAATATATTCAAGTAGAATAAAAGAAACAATGGAACAGTTATAAAATTAGTTTAAAATTAATATTTGTTATAAAAAGATAAAAAACACATGGTAAAATTTTACTGAATAGTTCTAACTTTTCAAGTAGTCTCAGTAATATACATATTATATATATACATATACATACATACATATATATGTGTCCATATATAGAGTACTATATTAAAAATATAATTCTGAGGCTAAAAATGCACAGATTCAACTGGGCAATAGTGGCACACACCTGTAATTCTAGTACTCCAGGAGGCTGAGGTAGAAAAAATGACAAGTTTAAGCTGAGCCTGAGTAATTTAGCTATTTAACAAGTCCTAGTTTCAAAATGAAAAATAAAAAAGAGTTGGGAATATAAAAAATAAAAAAGGTCCAAGGTTCAATCTCTGGGCCAGGAAAAAATAATTTTAATTCAATAATTCTTATGTCCTTTGTTAATTCAATATATGTTCAATCAAGGAAAAGTTAAAAACCCATTAACCTTCATATGACATTTTATAAATCTCAACTTGGTAATATGTAACTAAATTTTTTACCTATATGTACTATAGATAATTTATATTTTACTTTAATTATTCTAATGTATGAACCAATATTCTTTATATTGGCAATTTATTAAAGTGAGAATTTTATTATCCTGAAAAAGACTAGGTTTAGAACTAAAAATATATTTATAATACACCTATATGTTAATGTATATATATATAAATTTGTATATATATATACAATTATATAAATACAAAGAAACCAAAAGTAAAGTTGAATGTAAGACCTAAACTTTAGTTTTTTAACCCCTGAACTTTAAATATTGCTAATATGTTTAAAATGTTTTCAGTAAATATTTAAAAATTTCTATTTGTAAATAATCAATTTCAGTAAATACATTACAGCATTTTATGGCTGAAGAAGCAAGCTTTAGTACTATATTTACAATGGATTTCAAAATAACATGGCAACATAAAAAATAACAGTAAAGATACATAAATTTAGCTGAACAATTTTAGTGGTATTTGATGATATTCCTAGTCTAAGTTCTTATCATTTAGAGTAAAACAGAGATAAATTTTGGCAAAACTGAATGAATACAAATTACTCTCTGCAAGGCAATATATAAGAAGGTTTGTTAAAGTAGTAATATATTAAAAAATTAATGATATTATATAAATTTAATAAAAGTTTATCCAAACTTTTCTCTTTTTAAAAATTATTTGGTATAGAGTCTCACTATGCAGCTCAGACTCACAGTGATTCTCCTCTTAGAGCCTCCCCAGCACTGGGATTACAGGCGTGCGCCACCATGCCTGGTCTTGCCTGGGCTGGCATAGCATGCGGTGCCAGAGATTGAACCCTGATCCCTGTTCTTGCCTAAGTAGGTGCTTAGTCGCTGAGCACTTGCTGGTCCCAATATTTTCTTTTAAACAGTATAAAAAGAACTGACAGACATAAAAATCATACAACTATTCCTATTGATTTTTTTTTTTTTTTAATTTTGGTACTGGGAATCGAACTCAGGACTGAGCTTGCCCAGCAGGCGCTGTATCACTGATCTATATGCCTAGTCCTCGGCTTATTCTCAAGCAGTCCTAAAGTACACTTTTACTCAGTACAGAAACATTGAGACCTGGGCACCAGCGTTCCAAATTGGTAAATTTCAATATTGTTTCTTCTTTCACCTCCATCCCATTCTCAGATCAATATTCAAAAAGGTATTATAAAAGCGTAGGCAGTAGAAAAAAATAGAAGATCCATAATAATACAACACTACTACCTAAATGAACTAGTTCTGAAAAAGCTAAACTCGAACATAAATTTTTGGAGAATGTAGTCATAAAACTAAATGTAGCAACATTAAAATCATCTAAAACATTTACATGAACTAATATACATTCTTTGGCAAAAATAGAAGGAAAACGCAATTGTAGCACTCCACATAAATTTTTTGTTTGGAAAAAAAATGTATGAATCCCAAGCAAAAGCTCAGAAACAGACTGCCAAATTGGTTGTACATGCTGCAATAGCTGAGTAGTGCACGTTTTCTCCTTACAATTAACTCACCTGGGGCAAAAAAGCTTTGGAAGTCCATGAAAATACGTCCAAATCCCTGCCTCCTTGGCTAGCATTACAGATATTCTGACAAAGTTTAAGAAAGAAAAATATCAACAAAGGGTGGGAACAGGACATCATCTGCAGAAGATGCACTCATAGCCACGACATTGTTCTGTACTCTAGCACCAACACGGAAAATATTAGTGTACTAAAGGAAGACTGAAGCCACCTGAGTAAACACACATCAACGAAATTCTGAAAAAGAAGCTTTTGTTAAAAGCTCTCCCTGGATATAGTGTGTCATGCCATTTACTAAAATTAAGAGCCAGACATTGTATTAATGCTTACAAGGTCAATCCAAGAAGGAAACCTAAAAACTTATTAAGGATATATTTATTGTAATACAAGCCAGATTTATTTTATGACAGAAAAGTCTGCTGTTTTAGAAATAAATGATGAATACTGCGCAGAAAATGCAACTCATAAAGAATGATGGCATGTATTATATATGAACTACTTATCAATGTTAAAGTACAAAAGATCACACGTACAAAAAAAAAAAAAAAAACCCTCAAAAAGCCTGAGTAATTTTTGAATTTTTTTTTACTTCTACAAATGGAAAAAAGTCACTTGAAAATGTTTCTGAAAGGAATAAACAAAGCATAAAGAATAAAACACTATGTATCTTTTTATTGATATAGGCCTACTTTTCCCTAAGACAAGAAAAATGCATGAAAGATTGGAGACATCTATGTTGAAGTCCAAAAATATTTTGTAAAAAAAACCAATCAATTCTAAGCAAATGTGATGGGGGGGGGGGAATCACAAAATGTCTAACAATTTAAATTATATATATATATATATAATATATATATTTTTTGTTTGTTTGTTTGTGTTTAGTACAGGGTCTACAGGGTCTCACTACATAGATTGGACTTATGGTGATTCTCCCGTTTACAGCCTCCCAAGCACTCGGATTACAGGCACATGCCACCAAGTCCAGTCTCAGTCGCTGTCTCAGCATGCCCTGGGGACAGGGCCTGCATGGCAGGCTCAGAGATTGAATCCCCGGCCCCAGCTTCTGCTTGAGCAGGTACTTTAATCTGCTCAGCTTTTTGGCTGGCCAAATACACATTCTTATAGTTGAACGTGCTATTAATCTATATTTTTCTGATCTGAAATTAAAATCTTTAATGAGCAGCAACTGCATAATTTTAAGGCAATAAATGTTATTTTGGATCAAAAGGAGAATATGAAAATGTTAAAATTATCATTAACACTTAACATGAAAGGAACATCAGAAATACTCATCAGTTACATCTCACTTTAGGTCAGAATATGGTTATTATTCACTTTTCTTTGCATATATATGTATATGAAGGAATACAGATAGGCATTAATGTATACATCCATATTAATACAAAACACATAAAACAAAAAATTAGCTTCTAGTTAATGTGCCTACAAATAACTACAAAACTGAAACCAACACCAATCCTCTTCTCTCGTTTTAAAATAGATAGTAGACAGGGTCCTGTCTCAATAAACTGAAAGTTTATTGCAACATCCACAAAATGCTGTGGAGTTTTTCTGGTGGGGGTTAACCTCCTTACAGATTTATTCAGGTATACAAGAAATTTTAAGAGTATATGCTCTATGGTGTTACCCCTCACAGAGGATAGTGATGGGTAACCTTTGACACAAACAATATCATAAAACAATATCATGATTTTCTAAAACTTTTTTGAATTTGAGCATAAATTATTCTACAATTAAAAGCAAAATGCAAAGCATTTGTTAATACACATGAATTGAGAGGTAAAAAAGCAATATGGGACTTCAGGTTAGTAAAGTTTATACCTCTCTTTAATTTCAAAAAGCAAATTTAAACGTTTTCTGAATCAATAACATGCACAGTTTTACTTGGAAACTGATACAACTAGTAATCATGTTACTAAATTGACAATATAACCATTCTGTTCATGTTAATTACATGTGAATTCAAATTTGTTTTTTTTTTTTTTTTTGCTTCACTTTCCATAGTTGTGGAAAATTCTATGTCCATTTATCAAGTATCAAAAATTCATCAGATAATAAAGGTAGATTTTAGTGCATTTAAATTTGTTTTGAAAATTTAGAAATAATTTAGGCACATATATAGAGATACTCATTTCTCTGAAGTTAACCTCTCACTTATATAAATTAGATTTCATGTTATATAATTTCATAGCTTAATGACACAGAACAAAGACAAGTATAAACATAATACTTTAAACAATTTTATTCTCAAATTCTAAAAAAAAGGCAGAAAAATTCTGTCAAGAAAAATCAGAAAATTAAAATATACTAGAAACTTAACTAAATTAATCAGCACCAAAGTACAATTTAAAGCTGCTATTGTTTCATGGTATAAAAGGTCCCAAACAAGTTAGTATTTACCACAGAGAAAATGCATCATCAAACAAGCAAATGTTCATCCAAAATTAAAAAAAATTTTTTTTTACTCTGCTGGATTAGTATAGTGGTATAATTTGAATGGCATACATATCAATTATTATACTATTATCTTAACTGCTTACTTATCTCATTGTTCAAGAAAATTTAACATTAAAGAACAAAATGAGGTTAATGCTGTATTAAATAAACACATGAAGGGTAAAACTGGTTATGAATGTGCATGTACACAAACCAAACCAGGAAAGCTGGCAGATTGTAAAGTTACAGCTGCCAGGTGATACTAAGTGTTTCAAAAGACAGAAATTAGTCACACAATGGAAGAAATGCTTGCTAATTATAACAGCTATCTCAGTGATACTGTAAGACAGACCATAAAACAAGACTTATCTTTTATTTCTACTCCAAATCATTTGTGCCCCTGTTTCAAGAATATCAACATGCTTTCTATATGAGAACACCTATCAGCCTCAATTGGAACTGATTTGTATAAATGCAAGGAGCTATTCAAAGACCCAAATTGCTTCTGCAAGGACTTAGGTAACATGGACATCATAGAACACTGCGTCTTATGCATCACTAGCATGCCTTGATATGTATTTTCTCTTTCACTAAACTCCACTTACCATGTTGAAAGATTTCAACATAATTGGCTTTTCTGCTTTTTTACTTATATTTTTCAAGATGTACGAAACATTCTAGTAGCTCACTTGCTGCAGTTTCCAAATCATTAGATTTCTAATTTAAAATCAACATCCCCCATAAATACTTTCTCAGACTAATTCATTTAATTTCAATACATGTTATGGTATTTATCCTCATTGAATCATTAAAGCTACAAGTATTCATATTTTTATGGATATTCATTAATTTTAGTAATAAGGTTTTTACTGTGATATTTGCTTTATACTTTTGTAAGTATATTTAACTTTATAAACTAGACTGAGAAATACTGAACATAAAGATGAGGACTTTGAAATCACAGGAAGGGTCTAGGGATATAGCTTGGCAGCGCAACACCTGCTTGCCAAGCACGAGGTACAGAGTTGGAATCCTGGCACCCACGCACACAAAAAAATCCTTTACTGGCGCAGCACCTGAAATCACATCAAATTGGGTTCCAGTACCAGCTCTATTGAATGTATTTGTGATGTTAAGTGAGTAGTTATCTGTCTTCATTGGAAAAATAGTGGAAATATACTTAACATTGCAGGGTCACCTAAGAAATAAGACAGTCATGGTCAGGAGTACAGTGCATATGCGTTAGGAATCATCTTAAGCAGCGTGATATCAAACAAAGGAAAAGAGCCCAAACTAGGTTATCAACAAATATTGAAACACTACTATTAATTCAGCAAAGTATCTAACACTTTGAAAAAATAAGCTGAAGATGGGATCATTAATAGTCCTTACCCTTAGAAATAATACTAGAAGATACATAAATACAAGTGTGCTGAGTGTGAACAGAATAAACTCAGTATCAAGTTGGCTAGAGAAAGATGTAAATTTTTTTACTCCTACAGACTAACCTGTCTGGCAAGGGAAACAGTGCAAGTTATTTTATCTGCTTCTAGCACAAATTCTTTGCTTCATCCGTATCAGTTATCAGTTCCCACACACGGAATACCTTCAGTAGCAACAGAAATTGGATTCTATGTCTAGAATTTTCTTCTTTTTCCTGGCAACTTTTTTCAAAGTCCACCTCAAATGTTAATTCCTAAGTTAAGTCTTCCACAACTGCTGCACAATACAGTATGTGAGTGAATACGGTACGTTCACTGCATGTGAGGTCCTCGATAGCAAGAGCAGAACGTCAACTTGCTTCTTTTAAATCTTCCCATAATCCCTCTCTACCCAATAGCCACTTCCCTGCTTTGCATGCGATATATATGAGAGAAAATATTTGTTGAATGAGGAATTAATCAATTAAAGACTATACTTATTGGAAAGCACAAAATTAGGTATTAGAAAAACAGAAGAAAAAGAATTGTAGATAAATGAAGCAACAAAACAAATCTAAGATATAAAACTACAAAGTATGTTCTAAAAGGGGGAAAAGTTTCAATGGATAATGAATGCCTTACATAGGATCTAAATTTTTTATTTAGTCCTATTTTTCCCATCGACACAAAGGTTTTTGGAAAATATATAGCCATAATATGAATGTCTATTGCCATTTAATCTCTAGGGCATTACCAAGTGCTAACAGTTAAAAGTCACATTCGAATTAAAGTAGGGCACTAATGTTTCTTTGTAAAGTGTTTAAATAATACTATTACTACTATAGGCTAGCCAAATTTAGCTAAAATAGCTATTTATAATGAAAATGAGTTCTAAAACACAGTAAACAAAACTATAAAATTCACTTCACAACTCACTGTAAACTGATTTATAACTTTTTAAAGAGTTCATCACTCTTTAAAAAGTTCAAAAGATTCATCACTGCTCAGTTTTCCAGTGTGCTCCCCAACTGTCCTTCATAGTTGAGTCAGTATCCACACAACGTATACATACGATTTTTCTACTGAAGCACTGCATATTAGCAACCATGATTATTACTGATTTAGTCACAAATGGACTAAGAAAGGAGACTACATGGAAACTGTTTTCCAGAAGTAAATGTCATACATAAAAGAAGAGGTAGTAAGTTGTTTTTTTTTTTTTTTTTTTTTTTTTGCAGTACTGGGGATTGAACGCAGGACCCTGCGCTTGCCAGGCAAGTAAGCTCAATTATTTAGCTGTGTTATCTCTTTTCTTTTCTTTCTTTCTTTCTTTCTTTCTTTCTTTCTTTCTTTCTTTCTTTCTTTTTTTGTTTTTAGCTGTGTTATTTCTTTGAGGGGATGAGATGGAATTATTATTCCCTTTATGTCCTATGACTAGCTCAGCAGAGTAATCATTAAAAACATACTGACACTATAAAGAGTATGCCATGGTCTCTGCAGAAAAGCCTTGGGAAACTAAGCATGTTCCCACCTAGGCCAGGCCTCCACGGAGGTCCTCGTCTAACCTCTGTACTGAAGCAACTTCATAGCGGACCCATCTGGAGATCTGTTATATCAATTAATTTTGTCACATTATACCCACTCTGTCAAGAGTGAACTCTGTCAAGATCACCCAAAATGTCAACATTTTTTAATGTCATCTATAAGTTCTCTCATTTTTATAGCCAAAACCAATTTATGTTTCTCTCTGATCCCTCCTCTAATGCTAAATACATTCACTTCTATCTTTAATACTGTATGTAGGCCACACTCCTGCCATCATCTGTGTCTTCATGTCATGTGGATAATCTTTCATCTAAGCCTCTTAGTCCCTAGACTTAAGGTAATTCCAGTGACATTTACTCATGTTGTACTTCACCTACTCTTCCACTACAACATAATGGAACATCTCATTAAACTGCTTTATAAAATAAAATTTAAATCTACTTTATGATGCAAACTCTACATCCTTCCAGCGGTTAAACTACCATAATTTTCTATATTGTTTTAGGACTTTAAACCTTTCAAGTCCTTTGGATCCTCTATTTTGTCTTTTCATATTCTACGTTAGATTGCTTTCCACAGACGGTTAGCTATCAACAGTATCAGGAATTGTTTATTCCTATTTTTCCATCAAAGAAGCCAATAACCCTTACTTGATCTTAGTCAGATTCCTATCTGGCTTCTCAGACACTATTTAAAATATTCTTTGCCCTTCTAAATCCTCTAACATAACTCAGTTCTTCCATTTTTAACTGGTGGCTTTTCTTGTTTTTGTGTTTTTCTTGAAAACACACAAATTTCTAAATTGGTCAAAATTTTTTAAAAAATTGTACAAATGATTGCTATAGATATCTTATTTAAAATACTATTTTCATAATCTTAAAGAATATCTGATGAAAATAACATAAAATGGTTTCTAACCATATCAGGCCAATGTTTTAGCTTTGAAAATAAAGAATTATAGTTGTTCCTCTTTCTAGAGGAAAAGTCAAAATCATTTTGATTTTTAACTACAGACAATCCAAGAAAAATATGAGGTGAAAATTATTTAAGATATAGTATTTTAACTATGGATTTGTCATTTTTCAGTTTAACCTCAGTAAAGCAAAAGGCCAATACTCCAAATTTTCTTTATCACACTATTAGTAATATATATTTCTCCATATACAAGTAGAAGATATGTTCATAAGAAGATAAAGTTCTATTTTATTCTCCAAAAAATCTTTTCATCTAACCCATTCTTTGGAAAAAATTATTTTGTACTATAAAGAAAAACAAATATAATATATGAAATAACTTGATATAATAATCTAACTTTAAATATTAAAATATTCACTTTCTAAGGTTTTATACTAAATAAAAATTTCCCACTGCTCTTTATTAGTAGTGCCATAAGGACATATATATTTGATGGTAAGGGAAAAGAAATTTTTTTGATAACCTGTAAATACAGGTGTAATTAATACCTAGATTTCATGATACAGTGATCTTATAAACACTGACTTTAACCATTTCTACTGAATTTATCAAAAAGGCTCAATGAGTTCTCTCAGAGATTAAGATCTACCTTTAACTAAAATACTATGAAGTACTACAGTTCTAAGAATCCATCTTATGTTACATAGTAATCTAAACCAATGAAGAAAAGAGAATATGACACAAAAGTAAATACAAACCTTTTACCAAAAATTTTATATATATCTATTTGTAATGTATGGTAATTCCAAATTCTTAAATTTTAGTTTGAAATTCATTCCAAATAGTAATGTAAATAAAAAAGGACCCCTCCAAAATGCAACTAATTTCAATTCCCTATCTCTTTGAACGTTCTTCAGTATGTCTAGTTTTAATTTACTTGTTTCTGTCAGTAATGGATCAAACTACACACTATGAACTTCCACTTTGCCAAATTTTATTTTATGAGAAGTCTATAAGACTTCAAGCATTTATAAAGCAAAAGTTACAAAGTTGTGGGTTACCTCAGAACTGAAAAGCCTTAATTAAAGAAAAGTCCTGTAATGAGGAAAGTGTACCTAAGGTGCTTTTTAAAACCATCTTTCACTTACGTCCACAGGCACCAGAAGGCTCTTGCCAAGATGTTGATTAAAAGACAGGCACCAGGCTTCGGTATAACCATTCATGTTAGGCACATACTTCTTTATTGTCTCATCATTCAGTCTCAGCCACACGCCATCATCATTGTGGATCTAGGGAAACAACCAACAGAAACAAGCCATGCCCTCCTGTAACTCCTATGGGGCTAACAGTGGCCATAAGGTTACAGAGCAGGCAAATAATAATAAAAGTGGAGAAAGAGTAGTAGCAAATATCTATGCAATGTGATAATTTAGAGATTCAAAAAACATTAGGAGCGAAAGCACACAACATAAACAGCTTAAATAGTAAATCAGATGTTCACCAAAAGAATACAAATTTCCCTTCCTAAAAATTTAGATTGATGAGAGGATACTTGGTTGTATTACTAAAACAAATACTATGTACTGTTTAAAGTTAAAGCAACACAAACTATTTAAAAATAGTATTTTTAAAAATCATAAGAAACAATTACACCACTTTTAGTGATTACTTATGGAAGTTTCTAGTTATATATGTTTAAGATTTTTTATGTTCACAGTAAAATTTTAGTTATGTTTTTATTGATAAAGGAAAATAACTGAAATGTTTGTCACTCAGTGAATACTACCAAAAATTTTTGTGAAAGATTCCTCAAAACAAATTTTAAGAGAAACCTTAATATATTATTGTGCAATGTAGAAAATTCCTGTCTAACATTTGTTTACCAAGAGCTTCCTTATGAATTACCTCATCAATAAAAGTGATCATGCCATTGACCTTTACTATGCCAATCTGCTCACTCTGAAGGGATGGATGGCTCCGGATACGGAGCCCTGCACTGTCCTTGGCCACGAATTTTCGAACCTGAGAAACACAAAGGTATTTAGTGAGAGCAGGAAAACATGGACTAGAGATTTCAGATGTAGGAAGAAATAAAAGTAAACAATTCACAATACTACAATCCTGAAAGCTTCCAAAGTTTTTACAGTTTATTTTTATAAAGCAAAGAACAGCAAATTTATAACAAAAATATAAAAAGAACGTTTTTTCTTTAAGGTAAAAGAGACTTTTATTGTGGGCACGAGAGGACCACAGAGAAAGAGAGGGAAGAATTCTCTCAAAAAGAACTTCTCTAAATATTGAAATGTATCCTATTAGAAACATTTCAATAGAAAATTATTAATATATACCATTTCCTTTATAATTTTGAATTCATATGACAAAAAAGATAGAAGGTACCTTTTAAAAATGTATGACATAAATTCCATTACATTTCCTTTTTGCAAGTAGTTTACCAAAATTCCCACACAAACTAGTTATACGTCAGGAAACTGAACGGCACAGACATTTAACCTTGCAAATCTTATACTTAATTTTAGTAGACATCATGTTAACTGTAAACTTTCAATAACAGAAATTATTCAATACCCATAAATTATTAGTCTTAGATGAAGAAACTAAAAAGGACTGCTGCTATATTTGAAATGTTAACATTACTGTGAAACATTCTCCAAACTTATTTAGGATATCCAGAACTCAAACACTAAAATCAATTAAGTTTAAAGTATTAGATGTTTGATAGCTCTTTTGAAACATCAATGAGAACTTAAAAATCTTTGATTGATTCAGCTTAATTTTATTCAACTCTAACCTTATTTGGTTGAGGTTCAGCCTTTGGCTTGACCAGCTGAGTTCCTGGTGGAATCATCCCTTTTGGTGGGTCTTTTACCTTTACTTCAAGGCCAGCATCTGTAAGAAAAGAAAACTGTAACATTCGATGAAAAAACTGAAGATCTTTAAATTGAACTTTATAAATGCGGGCTATTATAAACATCTAACACAAATATCTGAATTCTGCCCTATTAAAGTCACTGGTACTAAAAAAGTTTAAAAAATAAAAAATTTGAAAAATGCTCCTGGGATTCAAAATGCTAAGTTAGTATGTTTTTCTTAGAGTTTCTACCAAAAGAGGGGCTTCCTACTCTTTAACTAGAACATATGAAATGATACTGAAAAAATTCAAAAATACAACAAAAAAGAAATTCTTGTTATTAAATCTTATATTTCAACATCAAAATCATAGTGCTACACATTACCTGTACCAAAATTGCCTGTGTGACTGACAAGCAGTCCAGCACTCAAGACAGAATGGCAGAGCAGCAGACAGTATAATGCACCACAGTGGTTAAAAGCTAAGTTCTTGTGCTAGACTGCTTGGATGTTCTTACATTTGCCAGTACTGTGTGGCTTTATCTCTAAAATTCTCATCTATAAACTAGGAACAGTGATACCTTCTATCTCAACATACTATGAGACTTAAATAAACAACTGAAACTATGAAGTGCACACAGAAAAATGTGCACATATAAAATGTTTAATATATCTTAAATCAACAAACTCTTATCAAAACTTTTTAAATTTTTATATTATTGTTTGTCTACTCAACTGTCCACTCTAGTCAAACAAGGTCCCAGTCTATGACAGTTTGGGAAAAATCTGATTTAGGAAGATTATAAAGGTTGAATAGTGAATAAAATGAATGATTCTAAGTAAATATGAGTCTTTCTTAAGATTTATTCTAAGAATCAAATGTTTTACTCTAAGAAAATTAAAAAGCTCTATATACCCACTCAATTTTGCCAATAGCTACTTCAAATAATTTCTAAATTACTATAATATCTAATCCAATGTAAAGGCAATAAATAGTTTTTGTATTATGAAGGGAATAATGACAATTATAATGTACATATTCAGTACAGATGCAATTTTTTCTGAGTACTTTTAATGCACCACTTGTTGAATCCATGGAGTGAAACCCATGAATAGAGGACTCACTCTACTATTACTGTCTCTACTTGATTGCCCTCTTTTCCATAGGCAGGGAGTCCCACAAGTTTTAAACAAAAAGAGATTATTCAGAACTTATCAGAATCTTTAATATGTTAATAGAGTTTGCATAAGTACCTAAGGTAAAATCAGAATATACTAGGTTTTCCAAATATGTAACAAATGCACATTGAAAACTATTATATGCAAGTTTAATTTTAGTCTTCATTATACAGAGAGTTTGAAAATAAAGACTAATGCCAAAAAGAAAATCAATGTGCTCTTTCAGATTAATGGCAAAGAGAGTTCATGCATTCAATATATTTACTGAGCAGCCATTAAATGCCAGGCACAGCTAGAGAGCAGCAGGACCACAGATGAATGATATGACCTCTGCTCAGTCAAGAGAGGGAGAGCAATATATCATGAATGGGATATGGATGGAGTATACAATATGATACAGCAATATGGAGGAGATCTTACCTGAATGCTCACCTGAGGCAAAGGAAGGAAGATGTCATGAGGCTATACTGTTTGAGCAGACACCATACATTATTACAAATATTAAGACTGTAGGAATAGGAATACACTAATTACATATTCATTATGAAGGAGAAAAGGAAGTGACATGAGATCTATCCATGTATATGAGAAAAGTCAAGAGGCAAAGTTAAATCAGATGGATAATTTTGATTCTAGTTCTTTGCAATACCTATTTCAATGCCATCAATAGTAACATGAATGGTGTACAGTCCAATTGCCCCTGGAGTCCAATTGGCACAATAAGTGCCATCATTATTGACACGTATCAACATGTTCTCACTGGGTCTGAAAGAAATAAAATACATATTGGAAAATTTACTTTTGATTAAATACTGAGAGCATTATAATATTTTAGCAAACATTTAACTTTTTTATACGCCATATTGTTATGGTTTGTGTCTAGTTGTCCCCCCAAAGCCTCATGTAGTCATGGGGTGAGGACTTCTAGAGTTTGTGTTAACTCATGATCCACTGGGATTATGTGTGATCCAAGGCTGGGATTATGGGTCTTAGTACTGCTGGGATTACCCATAGGTGGGTAAGTACTGGGAAGTACCCATAGGTGTGAGTACTTCCCCTACTCTGGGGCAGGTAATTTGCATTACAATGTAAGGTGGGAAGAGAAGCTAGCTGCTTGAGCTGCTGCTACCTCTCCTTTGCACTCTTGCTCTTTGCCGCCACCATGAAAGGTTGCCCTCTGCTATGTGCTGCTCTGCATTGGACCCAGCTGAGTATGGACTGAAACCTCCAGTAACTGTGAGCTAAATAAACCTTTCCTTCCTTCATTTTGAGTGTCGGGTATTTGTCCCAGCAACGAGAGAAGAGTAACTAAGACACATATCATGCTGTGTGTCAGTCCCACTGCCTTGCCATAGGATGTTTTCCTACTCTTAAACAATTAAGTCCTTTCTCACATCAAAATACCACCATTCTCTCTCCCTTACTTTCAGCTAATCATGCCACCTTCTTTTTCTTCTGTGAGGAAACAGAAGAAACCAGATATATCCTCCAAGTTGCAGTCATATTATGAAACTTACCTTACCTTCTCTCCTATTACAAAAAAGAAAGCATTCTGAATCTTACCCAAAGCCAGCCCATCCATTTCAGCTGTGAAACTTTCACCCATAGTCTCATATCTCTTCTCTTTTGTATCAAAATTTATCTAAACAATTAGCCCATTTTTTCATTTTTACTTCTATTCCACAACTTATTGTTACTAAGCTTCTGACCTCAACACTTTATTACATGTGTTGATACTAATGTCAACAATGACTCTACCAATTACTGCCATATTGTCTCTCAAGTAAATATTTGATTAAAAAAAAGGATAATAAATGAAAACAAGAGACAAGAAAAAAAAATGTCCTAAGACTGTCTTCCTACAATGCTATATATAATTAGAGTTCTAAATTTCTGTGTAAAAGTATGTAATTGTCTACTCCTATTATTTAAAATATTTTTTAAATTTTTTTTTCACATTCTGTAGGGACTTAAAGTTTAACATACCAATACTTGATGGAAAATACTTGTTCCATGTTATGTCTAAGATGTTTGATATTCAGACAGACAGTGAGGTTAAGTTCAACTGCCTATGTTGTAGGGTAATAATAATAAGCTTCTATTCTGGAGGGTTAACAACCTAAGTTTACAGACCAAAAATTAGAGAAAAGAAGGGCTGCAAGGACAGCCAACATTTTGGCCCTAGGCTTTCATGGTCAATGAGGACTCAGGACATAGGACAACCTGTACTGTAACATCATGTAACTCAGTTGTGTCCCAAATTTTCTGATCAAGGAGATTATGGGGCCACAGAGGAAAGTTACTGACGATGTAGAATGTGCCTAAGAAGAGTCACATGGAGAGAAAACATTCTCTCAGGCTTTCAGAGAGAGCAAACTGGCCAAGCAACGACCGTGACTCATCCACATGGCTGACACTCACAAAGGATCTACAAACTGCGGTACAGGATCTCAGGATAAATCCTAAGGGGATTTGACTCACCCTGTCAGATACAAAAGTTATATTTCTTGTTATATAGGTCTTGCTTTATCTTGGTTTTAACCATCCAGCAGAAAAGTATAATAACGAGGTATGAAAAGTAAAGCCATATTAATATGCTGAGCTGTAAAAGGCTCAAGTCAACAACTTTTGACATTGCCAGTCCTACAGAAAATGCACTACTATTATGGACTACTGGACTATATTGTAATATTTTGCTGAATTCATGCACCTACAGTATTTTAATGACAATGGAATACCTTTCTCTGACAAAACTAAACAAAAAAAGGGGACATAAATGAAGGGCTATTTTGTATCTGTATATTCAAAATAATTAGGATAGACATATAGCTAATATACTTTCTCTTAATTCAATGAATAGAAAGAGCTGTTTTAATAGTGTTTGTGGACAGGATATCATGTCTGCATATTGTACTATGAAAAACCACTAAGAAGACAACAATATGCAATGTATTAATTATCTAAACTGTCCTAATTGGTTTTGACACTGTCTCATTGTTATTTGTCTCTCAATATAATTATTAAAAAAATAAAACTAGTACCATTCTGAAAAACAAAACAAAACAAACAAACAAACAAACAAACAAAAAACCCCAAAACACCAATGACTATAATGTCTCCAAATTTAGCGGCCGTTTCTTCCTCCTCAGCAATATCTTAGCAGCATGTGTTAGCTGATAATTCTTACATCCTTGAAATACCTTTTTCTTCTTGCTTTACTGACTTTCTTTTGGCTTTCTGCTTTATCTTATTAACCATTCCTCATAGGTTTTTATTTTATTTTTTTCCTGAGTTCTCTTCCTGACCACTTTTTTTTTTCCTTTTGGTAGTGAGAATCACATTTAGGGCCTCACGCTTGCCAGACAGGTACTGTGCAGCTCAGCTATACCCCCTAGTCCTCCCTGACCACTTTCAATTTAAAGACTTTCCCAGGACTTGAGTCTAGGTAGGTCTTTAACTGACTTTTCATATCCTCTTTGTACCTCACCATTCATCTATTCATCAGTGTTAAATACTACCTATGCCTAGATACCCTAACTTCATCGTTCATGAACGTCAAGGTATTTTCCATTGCACAGCTGCCATCTCCACTTAAGAGGAGGTGTCCTGGCACCCGGTTTTTAACAGACTCAAAGAAAAACACTTATTTTCCACTCACATAAACATTAAAAAACAAACTGGGATAGAACACATATGCAATTCTCAGACATCTTGTTTCTCATGAAAACCATTACAATCTAGACCAATGATCAATAAACAAACAATATTACCCAACAATATTATATTAGTCTATTGGGCCAAACAATGTTGGCCACAATTACTTAACTCTACCATTATAATGAAAGAGTAGCCACAGCAACACATATACTCAATAATCCGGGTTATGTTCTAATACAGTTTTATTATGAAAACAGGTAATAGACTAGACTTGGTCTGTGGGCAGAAATCAGTCAACACCTAAACTATATTATAGCTGAAACCAAAGAAAATCTATGAGTATTCTTGTTTCATCTTGCCAACAAAACCTGGAGTTGTTCCTTCTCAGTATAGCCCAAGAATATCCAAACATTTTACATTTCACTGCTAGTCCAAGACATATAATGGTCTCTAACTCATCTCTGTAGTCTTGCTCTAATAATTAATCTTCAAAGAGAAGATAGAATAATCTTTAAAAAAAAAAAAAAACAAACTATGCACTAACCTACGTAAGTCTCCTGCTTTGAGTTCTCCAAAAAAATTTTAATAAGAAAATGCAAACTTTAACATAATCTATCAATCCATATATAAAAAGGACCTCAACTAGCTTTCTGACCTATCCTTCAATCATTAGCCCTCAACTTCCTGTTCTCCAGTCCAACTATCTTTCGGTCTGGTCCTCAATCAAGCTCCACTCACCCTAGGTTTTGTCTACCTATTATGAACTTTCGCAAACCTTTAAATGACCAATCACCCAGCTCTCCAGTTAAATAGCTCCTCAAGTAGCCCTCTCTTGTTATGCATACTTTGGCAATTTGCCCCATCCCCAACATTGTCTATCAAATTATTACTGTTTTGGTTCCTTACAGTTTATTTCTCCATAAGAACGAGAGCGGATACCACCTCTATGCTGCTCTTAAATGTGCCCAGGGCCGGTAAAAGTACTGTACTTTCCAAGGGGCTGGGGAGATGGCTCAGTGGAATAAGCGCTTCCCTGACAAGTGCAAAGGCTTGAGTTCAATTGCCAGTTCCACAAAAAGAAAAAAAAAGTACTGTACTTTCCACATAGCATATATTTTTTACAGCATGAAGTAAATACATGAATCTACTTAGATAAGAGACTATTTCAATTAGGCTTAAATGTCTAAATTATGTAAAAATTCACTTACTAGTAGATGGTTAATTTATTCTTAAACTATATAATCACACTACTCACATTATTTTATACAAATCATATGCTTCTACTGTAGTGAATATTTTGCAAATACAATTAAGTCAAAGATAAAATATTACTTTCCTATTAGCAAAGATATATTTTCTTTCTTTCTTTCGTTCTTTCTTTCTTTCTTTTTTTTTTTTTTTTGTGGAACTGAGGATTGAACAGGAGGATTGCCAGGCAAGCACTTATTCTACTGAGCTATCTCCCCAGCCCAATACTTGGTATTTTTGACAGCAAATTTTTTACACTAGTGCAAAGTGTGCATGCAAACTAGAATAAAGTTAAAATGACCTGTTATTCCTAGTAAAGTCATCTGTGATGTGCAATACATTAAGACCTACAAGTAAATAATGCTTTCTCAGACTCATTTCAGAGCAGTTTCTAAATTCTGCAAATGTGATCTTTCTAAAGTGCCAGGCATCTAAAAAAGTATTCCTTTTTAAAAAGTTCTTTAAACAAACAAATAAAATCCTAACACAAATATCTGCTAAATCTGGAGTTAGCAGAATTAATCACTGGCTGGAAAATTAAGACTACAGCAAAATATAAAATGACCAACACAGAAATCTCTCCAGAACTCATTGGGGAAGGGAAAAATGAACAATTATGAAATAGTAGAAGAGCAAATGGAAAAAAAAAAAAAAAAAAAACAACTAGTGAGCTGTAGAGAAGACATTTTATACATATTTTGATTCTAAATATTCTTTCTCTAGCTATTATGACAGTACTATAGTTTAAAAAATATATATTCTACTACCAAAGCTACACATAACTATATGCAGGAAATCACTGCTGAAATTTAAAAAAAAATTTTATTTAGAGAAAATAAATTTGGAGGATAGGATGCGTTTAGTTGCAAGAAGTATACAACACATACTTTAGCTCTGCTTTCACAAAATAATCCTTACCTCTTTGGAGTTGGTGAAGCAAAACGCAGTTCTTCAAAGGAGTAATTTTCATAGACCTTTGAGAAAGAGATCAGTAGCAACTATAAAATTAAAAGTATTATAAAGCAGTAGAACAACAAAACATTTAGTATTGTGCTAGTTATCCACAGAAAAGAAAAATTCACTGATCTACATCACACCATTTACAAAAAATAAATTCCAGATGTATAAAAGACTAAAATGTAAAAAACTAATTCTTTAAAAATTTAGAAAAAAAACAAGGTGACTTCTACAGGGTGACTTCTACAAGGTGAAGAAGTCACCTTATGAAGTGACTTCTTCACCTTGTAGAAGTAGATATGTAATTCATGTTACCTAAATAAGGTATGTATTCATAATACATAAAGAGCAAATTAATACAAAAGAGATAAATGCTTGAAAAGTGAATAAGGCTAATTCACGGAAGAAGTATGAAATGTCAATAAGAACTGAATATTTAGCTAAATGAGGAATTAAGAAAATATGAATTAGTACAACAAAAGTCTTATTATAGTCATCAAAACGTGCTCGTAAGAATCAAGTGCATTGGGCATCATGCCATATGCCTAATTTCAGCTATTAGGTGGGCTGAGGGAGAAATACTACTTGAGTCCAGGTGGACATCCTCATCAGTATGGTAAGATCTGAGTTAAACAGAACTAAACAGAACAGAACAGAACAGAACAGAACAACCACTCAACCAAGTATAAAGAGAACAAGCAGTATCTATAACTTTCAAATACTGCTGGTAGGAGTATAACGTTTACAATATTTAATAGCTGAAGACATGTCAGGTCTGTTTTCTCCTCTAAGGATAAATGTTCAAAAACTACTGCTCATATAAAAAGAGAAAAATGTAAGGATATTTATTTTATAATAATGTATAATATGTCCACTGGTAACAAAATGGACACAGTATAGTATCCAATGAAATGCTTTAAAGCAGTTAATGAACTACAATTGAAGTTAAACACTGACATTAAACAAAAACACTTGCAAAAAATACGTAAAATGTGATACAGCATTTTACAAATTATCTTTCTATCCTTATGAACGTGATTTAGAATTCTAACTTCCTTCATCTACACAAAAGTACGTAAAAGTGCAACTTAAGATTGAGTCTTTAGAAAAGGAGTTAGCAGATTGCTACCCAAAGTACAAAGTATTTTCTACTATATTATTTTCCCTCAGATACACACTGTTACATTTATCAGTGAAAGTAGAAATCATACCTCATTTTTTCATCCTCCACAATATTTAATCACACAGTATCTGTGAATAGTCGATATAGGAAAATGTACTTTTCTGCATTATGAATGAACATCAAAGAGACAGCTGGAAATGGCACTAACTGCTCTTACCTTGTGCCACTCAGAACACTGATGAAATCCTACACCCAGGTATGGTAATCGGGGTTTTTCAAAAGAAATTATACAAACTTAAACATGTTCATAGGAAACTAAAAAGCAAAATCAGGGAGACCAGAAACTAAGCATTATAAATGTAAATTGAAATAAATGCCAGACCTTTGACATTACTCAGAATTATTCTCTCTGAAATCAAGCTGCTAGTTTTCTACCTATCTCCTACTTTGTCTAATCTTAAGGGTTTGATTCTCATTCATCCCTTCTTCAACTCTCCTTTTATGAATCTTCTTACATCTCTCCAAACCTATTTAGATTCCACTGTTTTATCTCTAGCACCATACACTAAACAGTCTTATCTCACCATTCTTTTGTTGAACTATGACATAATTCAATGCTAGATAAATCAAAATGATTATTTACATGTTCATCTGATTCAAACTCCATTACTAATATAAGGTAACCAATTTCAACTCACTCAAGGATGTCTGATAAATATTTTCTGATTAGTTTTCTTTATTCTCCACAATGACTAATTTATTTATCTTTCTGAATCTTGATACTAAGATTCACCACTCACATATCTAACTTAAAACATGATACTATTTTAAATAATTCTATTAGTTTACTAACTGAACATTTATTATGTAAATAGGCCCCTGTATCAATCATTTCTTTCAAGGACTAGGAAGCATACTCCTATTTAAGGACAATCCTTCAATCTGAGATTTAGATATAATTTGTTGTCTTTCAAAATACCTATTTTTCCCTTTCAACCGTCTTCCCCGTCAGTAAAATTTAGAGGTTTCTTTCTATTAGAATCAAATTCTGAAGATTTCACTCAAATATATTTCCTGTGACTCATTTCTGAGCCAAAATCTTGAAAGAATTTTGTACAATAATTCATTTCCAGTTGTTTTTTTTTCTTTGTGGTGGAACCAGGGATTGAACTCAGGCCCTTGTGCTTGCCTGGGAAGCACTTATTCCACTGAGCCATCTCCCTGGCCCCCATCCAGTTGTTCTTCTCTTTTGTTTACTGATTCATTGACTCACAGCCCCTAAAACTTCCTACCAAGATCCGTGATAAATCTGTCCCTGAGCCTTTTTAAAACTTTATTTCTGACTAGAACATTCTTAACTCTCCCAAAACTGCTGTTTTCTTGATTTCCAAGATCTGTCATAAGGGAGCTGGGGAGGGAGCTTCCTTATACATTAGCTACTAAGGTTCACTGATTCTGCAACTCCAATATCTCGACTCTACACTGATTAGCCACTTACTAATTGCAGTGATCATGTATCAGTGTAATTCAACAGTCTCTAAATCAAACCATACTTCCTCATTATCTGCCCAATTGCACTGATCATATTCCATGATCATCTTTATAAAATACCACCTAGTCATTCCTCAACTAAAAAGCCTTAATAGTTCACCTTCCTTTTCTCTCTCTCTCTCTCTCTCTCTCTCTCTCTCTCTCTCTCTCTCTCGTACTTGGTTGTTGCAAGGTCTCACTATGCAGCTCAGACAGTGATCCTCCTGCTTTCAGCCTCCCCAGTTGTGGGACTACAGGTATACACCACTACACCCAGACTCTGGCCTGCTCAGTTCGCCCTGGAGGCTGGTTGGCACAGCATGTGGTGCAGGGAATTGAACCAAAGTCCCTGCATTTGCATAAACTTGCCTCAGTAGGTGCTTCAGTCTGCTGAGCTATCTCGCCAGCCCTCCATTTCTCTTTTAAAATACCAAAATTCCCAACTTCAGTTTCAAATAATGACCATCTTATTAAGTTTGAGTAACATTCCCTTGTAACTAAAAAAGAGCTGGGGAAGATAGTTCAGCAGTCTAAGCGCCTGCCTGGCAAGCGCAAGGACGAGGGTTGGATCCCTGGTACTGCATGCTGGCTACCTAAACCGGGAGTGATGTTGCATGCCTGTACTCCTAGGACCGAGTAGGTTGAGACAGGAGGGTTACTATGAGTTTGAGCTTTATAGTGGGACCTTGTACCAAATAAATAATTAAAAAAGCTCCAGGAAAAAAAAAAGAAAAAAAAATATATACCTAAAGACATCAGAGAAAATACCTGACAAAGTAGAAGGCCCCAAAGATAAACTGATAAACTTCTCATTACTAGGTAAATCCTTAAGAGCCATTATGCAGCAGTATTACTAGGCTAAAAGTAAACAAGTACTCTTGTAATAACCATGCCCTATTTAAATCTCATTGGCTATGATACTGCAAGGTTTATACCCAGTTTTAAATCAATTCAAACTCTGATTGTATTAATCTGTCCTAAAACTGGTGATCTACTCCATAACTTTGTATCTGTATTTGAAATGCTTCTGAAATAAACTTTCTGGTAGGTTAAAACCAATTACCTTCATCATTGTTATGGCAATGTACCGGGCTTCCTTCACAATCATTGGTTCATAGGAAACATCCAGCTTTGGCGATGCCAGCCCTCCAAAAGTCAAGTCAGCATTAGAAGATGTCGATGTCACTGCAGGACTACCGGGAATCCTTTGAGGTTTCTTTCCTTGTTCTTGTTGTAAAGAAGACTTTTTCTGGGAAACAGGGACTGCCTTTACTTCAACCTTAGGATGAAATTTGAAAAATCAAATACTAATAAACATCAAATATAAAAATAAAAAGATGTGGTTTTTTTATACAATGGAATATTACTCAGTTACAAAGAAAGATAAACTCAAGGCCTTTATAGGTAAATGAATGCAACTAGAGGCTATTCTCATAAGTGAAATAAATCAGACCTACATTTATAAACACTGTATCATCTTGCTATTGTATGAACCTTAATGAGTAAATAATACCTGAAAAGTACAATAGATATAGTAAAAAAGGAAAGAAACTCAAAAGGAAAGAAAAACTGGGATGAGGGAAAGAAGAAAAGAAGAAAAGCAAAAAATATATATGTATATACATAGGAAAGCTAGAATGACTATACTACTAATTTCTATGTGAAATAGTAAGGGATTAGTTAATGCTTAAAATTTTTTTTTCCAAAATTTTATTGATAAACAGGTAGCCATGAGACAGTTTCAAATCAAATCGGAAGTACAGATTTAACAAATAACACACTGCATATATTCTTCTTAGTAGTTAACTGCTGTACAAGATGCGGACTTGAGATCTATTTACAAACACCATTAGAACAAATCATTCTATTCATTAAGAGAATACAACTATATATCTATCCTAACCACTTTGAACACACAGATACAAAATGGACATTCATCTGTATCCCCCATTTTTTCTAAGTTCCGTTATTGAATATTATAGGTGTGCAAACTCAATGCTTAAAATTTTTATTTTGACCAGTTTTACATATCTGGAAATCTAAACAACTACTGTGAATATAACAATGTATAATTTAACAACTATTGTTGAATTCCTTTCATCTTGTTTTTTGAAATTCTGGCTCATTTCTAATGTTTTATATATTATATTTGTATTCTCTTTAAAATAAAAAATATTATATCTACAAAAATATCAAAAATCAAATAAAAAATTTTATATTAAAAGTACAGGAAAGAATATTAGAATGGATATATATTGACTTTTTTCAGGGATGAATATTATTTTACCAGGCAATTTGAATATAAATATTTTCTTATAATCTGAGCACATTTTAAAGCACATACCTCAATTTTAGCTGTATTGCTATAGAACAAAATGTACTTCACTGATAAAAATATCTTAAAATTTGACATGGAGTAAAATAAATCTTACACCAAAGCCCAAACATGTTTTTTCTTATTTTCTCCTTTTCTCTCTCCTACCTTCACTACTCTCCCAAACTCCCATTTTCCTCTCCCCCTTCCATCTCCTTCCCAACCTCTCAGGACTAGGGATTGAACTCAGGACCTCAATCATGCAAGTGTACAACTAGCTGAGCTACACCAACAACAGTAACTGAATTTCTTCAATAGTAAGGTAAGGATAGTTTTCATCTACTTATTCTACTTCATAAATTTAAACTGACATATTTTATTATATTAAAATACTGAAGGGGCTGGTGAGATGGCTCAGTGGTCTAAAGCACCTACTTAGAACAAGCTTAGCAAAGCACAGGGACCACGGTTCAATCCCCCAGCACCACATGCCAGCCAGCCCGCCCCCTGGTGGGCTGAGCTGGCCACACACACACACACACACACACACATAAATAAATAAAATTAAAAAAAAATACTGAAAATATAAACTGTCTTATAAAAATACTTTTCATGGATTATAACAAATGTTTTGTTTATACATTTCAAAAAAACCCCAACAAGCCCCTTGCCCTCCAAGATAACTAATTTGAATATCATGTTAGCTATTAATCAGGTAACATTTTGTGCTTCACTCAAGTTTTTGCTTTGATTCTACTTTTTGTTTGAGACAGGATTTTGCTATTTAGTTCAGGCTGGCCTTAAGCTTGCAGCAACCCTCACCCTCCTGCCTCGGTCTTCTAAGTGATGGGTTACAGTCATGCACCACTATGCCCAGCTGACCTTACTTTTTTGAGGGTGGCAAGAACAGGCAGTTCAACAATAGAAGCTTTTTTTTTTTTTGCGGAACTGGGAATTGAACTCAGGCCCTTGCGCTTGCCAGGGAAGTGCTTATTCCACTGAGCCATCTCCCCGGTCCAACAATAGAAGCTTTGCACAAACAGAAAAGGTAGTATAAAAATGAAGATGACAATATTACTTAAGTAATCCAGCAGCACCTTGGACCTGCAGAATGTCTTTAATGATTACTGTTCTTACTGAATAATACTATTCTAGGAGTCAGTAGTTGAGATTCTCTACAGTAACTTAAGTGTCTCATCAACTGGAGTTATGAGAGATCAGTATTTAGACTGATACAAAAACCTGAAGATATTAAAAACCACATTTGTATATTTTAAAAACAGCAAATTTAAAGCTATGTGGTAAATAAAATTCCTCAGCTTATAAACATTTGATAAAATTAAAAGCTTTTTACTTTAAATGCAATAAAAAGAAAGCACATGCTTTCACATATTAAGACATTTAATTATAAATAATAGATCCTTTTAATACATATGATTTTGACTTAGTCTTTCTCTAAGCAATCATTTTCTGAGTACATTAATGTTAGTGGCACACCAAATCTTTTTATATTCTAAGGATACTGAGATATTACAGAGAGAAAATTCTGCTTTTTAAAATAAATTGTGGTATTCTAATTTCCCACATGACTAGCTTGTTGGCTAGAACAACCAGAATAATCATGAATAATCATGTTCTTGGAATAATTGTTTTCTGTAAGTAAAGAAAAACATCACCTACTGTTTTAAAAGGTATGTTGGAACTTGTTACAGTATTAGTTATAAATCAGCTTACATGTTTAAAATGATTATCTTGTACTACATAAATAACTGAACAATTTCTGTTAGGTATTAAGACACTATAGACTTCACAGGCTGTTAGAAAGCAAAAATAGATGAAATTAATTTTTTTCAGTAAATATAGAATCAAATTAAAAATTAATAGTTACATAAACACTTCTCATAAATACTATTTATAATTTTCTAGTTTTTGAATTAGGGATAAATTTGATATAAATTTAGAGCACATTGAATTAGAAGTCTAAAGGCAAAAAAGAAAATGCAAGAGGAGTAAGTATATAGGAGAAAGAAGGGAAGGAATAGTGGGAGAAAGTAGAGGAAAAGGAGAGAAATGAAAGAATGATAGAATATTTGGGTAAAAAAAGAAACCAAACATTGGGAGAAAAACATAAAGCAAACCTAACTACAAAATGCATGATGAAAACAACCTACACATCAAAACAAAGACAACAAATGATACAAAGGTGGAACTGTAAGAAAATACAGCTAAAAAATGCTCTAAGCCTATAATATAAATATTAAAAAATATACTAATTTGGAAAATAATATTACTATACAGTATAGCCACATGTATGAAGAACTTAACTTTATAGATTTAAAAACTGTATTTAACAGCCTACTGCATACAGTCAAGTGACGATACCATATATAATACATAGGCTTTCAATATATTAATGCATACTATATTGTGATCAGTTCTGCCCTTGGGGTCATTTTCTTTCTAGACTCACTACTAGGATTATTTCATTCTCTCCTCAGCTTTTTCCTTACTATATAACTTGAGGTACTTTTTACATTCCATACTGTAATTCAGAGTTGGCATAAATCACTTACTTGGGATCTGCCTTAAGAAGAGAGAAGAGAAAAATATCAGAGTATAGCACAGTGTGGGTGTTACTTAAGAGTATTTACTATGCCTTCATTTATTTGGATATATAATCATATATTGGGGTCATTACACAAATTCTTATTGTGTACGGTTAGAAATGAAAGACACTGTTAAAGGCTCACTTTCATTTAGTATCAGGGTCAAATGTTTTTCAGTACAATTTCATTAGTGTTGAGTAATGTGGAAAATGTCTTCCTATCATTTTTAACTGAGTCAGGTAAGAAGGTACACTGGTTGTGTGCTTCTTCATGCTACATATTAAAGAGTGTAAGTAGTTAAAATACTACTGTTAAAAGTAAACCTGTTAAAGCTAATACTTAATTTTTATTTTTATTCGTCACTTTCCCATTGCTGGGATAAAATATTGAACACTTACAACTTAAAGGAGACGCTTATTTTGGCTCAGCATTGCAGCGCTCTTATGTCAAGCACGGTTGACGCCAAGGCAGAAATGGCACTGCAGAGGGGTATGTCATCCAGGAGGCAGAAGGCTAAGGGGAGGGAATGTTCCTGCACAGGTCACATCTCCAGTGACCCACCCGCCACAGGGCCCCCACCTCCTAACAGCACATTCAGCTATGAGCTCAACACATTAATTCAATTACTTTCTAGAAACCCTACCTCTGAATACATGAGACTTATGAGGGACATTTTAGATCTAAACTATAACCCAATCTTACCTAACATTATTCAATCTTATCTTGTGAGCAAAAAATGATTTTATGACTTAATCTATTCTAAGCTTTAAAAACTAATTTTGGAAGGGAGGGGAACATCATGGCAGGCTAAAGACAGGAGAGTACAGGAGATGCTCCCCAGGTCCACAGAGAAAGGACAGGAAAAAACAAACAAACTCAACCATGGGAAGGCAATTTAAAGGACAAGCCCAGCAAATGAAATCCAGGGGGCTGGAGATCTAGCTCAGAGGTACAGCACCTGCATGGCAAATGTAAGACCCTGAGTTCAATTCCTGGTACCAAAAAAGAAATCCAGTTACAGATGTTGGGAATAAGCAGCAAGGTCACTTCTTGATGCTGGCACTGCTTACAGTCCAGGTATAGCAAACATGACATCTAGGGGAAAGTTCAAATCCTGCTGGGCAAAGAACAACAGCAGCTGCCAGGATACCAATAGGTATTCAGTCTGGCAGCTACCCAGAGCCCACCTGAATTAACTCTCCTCCCACTGGGAAAAGGAGCCAAGTAAGTGTACCAGGGAAAGGGCAAGCCAGAAAGCCACTCAGAGGGAAGTGCAAGTTAGGAGCTGTGAGCCATAGGAGAAGGGGAACAAGACCATGGTCCTGGCAGAACCCAGGTGTTGGGCGAATCTATGAAACA